CTCAAATTTCCATCCACAGTTAGTAAATAAATAAACTGTAGAGTATTCATAGGATGGAATGCTACTTGACCACAAGAAGGAATGGACTGTATGTATAGACCCAATCTGGCTAAATTTTGCAGTCATAATGTTGAGAGCTGGCTTAAAACTCAACATTCAGAAAACTAAGATTGTGGCATCCAGTCCCATCACTTCATGGCAAATAGATGGGGAAACAATGGAAACAGTGAGAGACTTTATATTCTTGGGCTCCAAAATCACTGCAAATGGTGACTGCAGCCATGAAATTAAAAGACACTTGCTCCTTGGAAGAAAAGCTATGACCAACCTAGACAGCATATTAAAAAGCAGAGACATTACTTTGCCAACAAAGGTTCATTTAGTCAAAGCAATGGTTTTTCCAGTAGTCATGTGTGGATGTGAGAGTTGGACCATAAAGAAAACTGAGTACTGAAGAATTGATGCTTTTGAACTGTGGTGTTGGACAAGACTCTTGAGAGTCCCTTGGCCTGCAAGGAGACCCAACCAGTCCATCCTAAAGGAAATCAGTCCTGAATATTCATTGGAAGGACTGATGGTGAAGCTGAAACTCCAATACTTTGGTCACCTGATTCGAAGAATTGACTCAGTGTAAAAGACCCTGATGTTGGGAAAGACTGAAGGCAGGAGGAGAAGGGGACGACAGAGGATGAGATGGTTGGATGACATCACTGACTTGATGGACATGAATTTGAGCAAGCTTTGGGAGTTGGTGATGGACAGGGAAGCCTGGTGCGCTGCAGCCCATGGGGTCACAAAGAGTTGGACACAACTGAGCAACTGAACTGAATGTTGAGAGAGAGACACAAGAGCTCACAGTGTATAGTTCTGTTTCTGTCATGTGGGAAGCAGGCAAAATGAAAGAGGCATGAAGAGACATACTTAGGTGCGGTACCCTAAATCAGGTAGGAGTTAGTGAAGTGGGTACCTTCATGGGGAGGGAGAAAGCCGTGCCTGGGAGGAGGCTGGAGGGAATTGGTAGAAACCTGGGAAGATCTGTTTCCTCACCTGGGTGGTGGTTACACAAGTGTGTTTGTCATAATTCATTCAGTAGAACATTTATGTTTCACGTACTTTATGTATGTCATATTTTGCAATAAGATTGCAAAAGATTTTTTTTTATTTGTTACTCACTTTATTAAGGATCACACTGCTGCAGTGAGGAAGACTTACGTGGTTTTTTAACTGAGAGACTTCTGTTGTCTGCTGGGGGAGGAGATGGAGGCAAACATTTCCCTTCACCTACTTCTGCAGGGCCATGAGTGACGGAGACGGGCTACCTTGTGGTCAGGGCCACTGAACTGACATCTAGGAAGGCAGGACTCTTCAGGGAGAGGGTTTCGCTGCCCCCCTGATCTCTGGCCCAGGGAGCAGCACCACAGTCATCCTATTACGGGCACCCAGAGGGTACCAGCCTGCGGATCACTCTTCACGGAGAGGTGACCCTCCCTAGGAAGAAATCCAGACTATTCTCTCGAGAGTCAAGTCCATCATTCCTACTGAGCAGACACAGGCACACCCAGCAGCCTGGGGGGTGGGGGTGAAGGATAAATAATTAAAAATGAATTTGAAAAGTAGGTTCGTCATAGCCTTACCTTACAAACTGGGCAGACTGGAAGTCTAGGGTATAATAAGTAACTGGGAGGGATGTATGTGGCACTGGCTCTGTGCTGGGCACTGTTCTAAGTAGTTTATATCTATTACCTGATTTAATTGTCACACAACCCTCTAAGATGGCCACTATTAGTATCGCCGTTTAACAGATGGAGAAACTGAGGCACGGTGAGGTTCAATAATTTCCCTAAGCTGGTCAATGGTAGATCTAAACACAGGCCAACTCACCCCAGAGTAGATGTTCTGTTCACCACCACAAGATTACTCTCTCTAAGGAGAGAATTAGAAGTAGCGAAATGGAAGTCTATTTCTCAAAAGCACAAAAGTATCTAAAAAAAGAAACTAGAAATAATTCTGTGGCTGTCCTGAGAGTAGGCAAGAGGCCTGCGTATGATCGACAGAGGAAAGGGGTCATAAGTGAGCTATGACCCCCTCATCAGCTACATCAGGGACCAAAAAGTACAATTCCAGTAGGGCTTTTTTCTTTTTTGGCTGCTCAGCTTGTGGGATCTTATTTCCCCCACCAGGGATGGAACCTGAGACTCCCAGTGGTCAAAGTGCAGAGTCCTAAACTTTGGACTACCAAGGAAGTCCCCCGTGGTTTTTTTTTTTTTTCCTTTCTTTTTTGGGGTTTTGGTTGTGGCCAGTGGGGGCTACTCTTGGTTGTGGTGTGTGGGTTTCTCATTGCAGGGGCTTCTCATGTTGTGGAGCACAGGCTCTAAGGGTACACAGGCTTTCGTAGTTGGGGCAAGTAGGCTCAGGAGTTGCAATTTATGGGCTCTAGAGCACAGGCTCAATAGCTGTGGCACGCTGGCTTAGTTGCTCCGTGGCCTGTGGGATCCTCCCAGAGCAGGGGTTGGACCCACGTCTCCTGCATTGGCAGGCGGACTCTTCACCACTGAGCCGCCAGAGAAACCCCCCAATGGGGCTTTTTAACCTGACTCAGTGATGAAATTCAGGGGCCATGTGAACTTGGACTGGAAAAACAACTTTGCTTTGACAGCCCTTCAACTCAATGATCCTCAGCATATGGTTTGGGAACAAAGTGATTTTCATAAGATGTGTTTGTCCTTTCACTCTTTGGAAGCTACCTGACCTGCAATGACATCATCACTGTGATGGCTAATCAAACATATGCATATGTATTCTTGAGTTTCAAAAACTTCCTAGTTCTGGGAATCCCTGGAGGTCCAATGGTTAGGACTGGGTGCTTTCACTATAGAGAGCCTGGCTTGGGAAACTAAGATCTCACCATCCTTGAGACATGGCCAAAAGGAAGAAAAAGGAAAGAAAAGAAAAAATTCTCAGTTTTATTTTCTTACATTCTTGTTGTTGTTCAGTCACTCAGTCGTGTCCAACTCTTTTCGACCCCATGGATGGCAGCATGCCAGGCTTCCCTTTCCCTTACCATCTCCCGAAGTTTGATTGTGTTCCTGTCCACTGAGTCAGTGATGCTATCCAACCATCTCATCCTCTGTCATCCCCTTCTCCTCCTGCCTTCAATCTTTCCCAGCATCAGGGTCTTTTCTAATGAGTCAGCTCTTCCCATCAGGTGGCCAAATACTGGAGCTTCAGCACCAGTCCTTCCAATAAATATTCAGGGTTTCTTCCATGGTAAATATTAATAGATATAACCCCATATATAACAAAACTCTTTGGGGTCCTCAATAATTTTTAAGAGGGTAATCTACAAACTGCTGCTGTAATTGAAATTTACCAGGTGTTTCTAACATGGTGGGGGATTGGAAGGGCCAACTACAGGACACAGCAGATTTCTGGCTTTGTCATGAGAAGAAATTACAGATGTTTTTACACCCTATTATAGTCGTCCCTATTGTAATTGTCACAAGACTCAAACACCACCAATACACTCAACAAAACTTTTAAATTACTATAGTTTTTGGACCTTGGAGTTTAATGCATTGATAAAGAAGTACATACATTACTGTATCACATATACAAAAAATTTCCTGCATCTGTGTAATAGCATCCATTTCCTTTGTATCTTGTGTATTTTTTTTTTTTAATGCATGTAAAAACATGATTCGGGGAAGGGCTTCACCAGCCTACCACAGGTGACTTTAGCAAAAATACTTCAGGTAGTGCTAGCGGTAAAGAACCCATCCGCCAATGCAGGAGATGAAACAGACGCAGGTTTGATCCCTGGGTTGGGAAGATCCGTTGGAGGAGGAAATTGCAAACTGCTCCAGTATTCTTCACCTGGGAAATCCCACAGACTGAGAAGCCTGGTGGGCTACAGTCCATGGAGTCACAAAGAGTCGGACACGACCGAGCACACACACTCAAGAGGAAGTTAAAATTGCTAAGGGTAGGATTTCCTTGGTGGTCTACTGGATAGGACTCCACACATCGAATGAAGAGGGGGAGGGTTTGATCCCTGGATAGGAGAACTATTGGCACACAGGTCTTGCTGAGCGGCCAAAAAATTAAAAGCAAAAACAATTGCTGAGGGTGAGCAGGGTCTTGAGGTTATTTGAGTTTGACTAAAAGGGCTGGTTTTTTTTTTTTGTTTGTTTGTTTTGTTTTTTACATTTTAGTAATGGAGACTCCAGGAGGTGGAGAAAAATCCAAGCAGTGCAAAAACCCATCCTGAACCACACCCCTGGTGTCGTTCTCAGAAAATGGTGTCCCCAGTCTGCAGGCACATCTCTGCTTGAATTTACAAAGCCAAATTGTGGAGTCATTTTGTCAGCAGACGAGAAGAAACAAAGAAAACCTGGACCCTCTGACTTTCCCTGCTGCTCTGGGAAAATGAATGAATGAAAGTCGCTCAGCCGTTTGCGACCCCATAGACTCCCCGCCAGGCTCCTCTGTCCATGGAATTCTCCAGGCAAGAATGCTGGAGTGGGTAGCCATGCCCTCCTCCAGGGATCAAACTCAAGTCTCCCACATTGCAGGTGGATTCTTTACCGTCTGAGCCAGGCTCTGGGAAAATACCCAAGGGTATCGTGGCAAGCCACTCACAACCTTCAAACAGGTCACAAACCTTGTACAGAGAGGAGTCTCACTGTCTCCCACCTAGTTAGTTAGTGCTTAGTCGTGTCCGCCCCCCTGGACTGTAGCCTACCAGGTTCCTCTGTCCAAGGGATTCGCCAGGCAAGAATACAGGAGTGGGTTGCCATGCTCTCCTGAAGGGGATCTTCTCCACCCAGGGATCAAACCCAGGTCTCCTGCATTGCAGGTAGATTCTTAACCGTCTGAGCCACCAGGAAAGCAGGATCCCACCTACATCCCGGGGCAATTTCTGGAACGCACACATTAATAAGCATCAAAATAACAGTTGATTGTTATCCAGCCCTTACTCTGGGCCAGGTGCTGTTCTCAGCATGCAATTTCATGTGTCAACTGGTTTAAACCTCACGATAGCCCATAGTGTTGATACTGTTATCACCCTCATTTCACAGGCGATGAAACCAGGTCCCCGCGAGGTTGAGTCACCAGCCAAGGTCGCACAGCTCAGAAGCAGCAGTCTGTCGGTGGACTTCGATTTTCTGTTTTCAGCATGCGGAGGGGGGCGGGGCGGCAGCTGCGAAGGAAGCTGCCGGGGAACTAAGCTTGGAGAGAGAGGAAGGAGGAAGGAACTGCCGAGAATACAAAGCCAGCGAAGAGGGAAAGGGATGGGGAATCTCCCCACCCCAACCCAGGTCGCGGATGAAGGTGCCTGCGCACCTGGGTACCTCGGGATCCGGAAAGGCCGGAGATGGGGACCAGTGTCTGCCCTGGGGGCTCCGCAGCTGCGGGGTGAGGCTCCTGGGGATGAGCACAGACTTACCAGTCCGGGCGCTCACCTGGTGGCCGGCTTGGAGGTGGCGGCGGTGGTTTACCAAACCTTCCTGGGTCCCCTTTCCTTCGCTCCACCCTTGGTGGGGGGCGTGTGGGCGTGGGGCGCCTGGGACCGGCCAGACCAGTGGGACGCAGGGCCCCAGCTGTCTGGGGAGGCTGTCACCTGGAGAAGGCAGGCTCTTCCGGGGCTGGGACAGCTGTGGGCGGTGGGATGGCTCATAAATACCACCATCACACTGGTTCCCCGAGACGCGCGCGTGCTGGGAGCTGGCGTCCCAGAGGGTGAGCCGGGGACCGGAGGGAATCCCCAGCCCCAGGTCCCGGTCCCCGGATTGACAGTCCCCACCAGCTTCTGCGCTGGCAGGGAGGTCCTCCACAAGCAGGAGATCCGAACTGGAGCGGGAGGGGAAGGGCTGGGGAGAAGGAGGGTGGGTATGCAAGCGCAGGGCCCGGAAATAGGGAGAAATTGGGGTCACTAACGGCAGGATGGGATGCTGAGATGGGCACAGGGAGGATGTGACTGCTCCAGGTGGAATGAAATGCTTGGGTGGTCTGGGGATGGAGTGGAGGTATGGGGTCACAAAGATGGAAATGGAAGGTTGCAGGATGGAGGAGAGGACAGTGAGGTCTCTGAGGGCAGGGTGGAATGCTGGGGATGGGGTTGCCAAAGGCAACCTCCTACACTGAGAGCCCCGCCCCCAATCCCATCCCCAAACCTCTGCACTGGGAGTGAGCGGTGGACAAGAGCAAGGGTTCTGCAGCCAGGACCCCTGGGTTCCAGTCTCCGCTCCCTCACACTTGAGCCGTGCCATTGAATCACTCCATTGCTCAACTTCCTCATCCATGATACGGGGCTGATGATCACAGAGGCCACCACACACAGGAATGTTGTCGGGCTCCCACGAGTTCATCTATGCAAAGTGCTTAGCACCGAGGGAGGCTCAGAGGGTATTTGTCTTTCAGTCGTGAGTGATGCTTGCTTTTGTTTTCTCTCCAGCGTCTGGACAAGCACTCCCCGTGAAGACCTCCCTGCCATCCCTGCTGCCTTCCTCCCTCTGCTGGGATCCTCCTCCTTCCCCCATCCTCTCAGCCCCTCCTGCTGATGCCTGCAGGACCCATCCCCTTCCCCTGCTCCGCACCTTCCCTCTACCATGTGTTCCTTCCGTCCCTGCTGGACCTGCTGCTGTCTGCTCCTCTTCTTCTCCCTGGAAGTCCAGGGGTCCCCAAAGCCTCCCAGCGCTGCCCCGGAGCAAGTCCACTTGTCCTACCCAGGTAAGTGTCTGTGACCTCTCCCCGGGCATTTCCCAGTGAGGACCAGTCGGTTTGGGGGCTCAGGTATTCCGCACTGATTCCCGAGGGAGTCTAGGCTGGTGGGTCTTCCTGAGCCTCAGTTGTCCTCATCTGTTAAATGGGGATTATAAGCAGTGGGGTATGTGGCTGTGTGGGAAATGATTCTGGTTCTCAGCCTATAGTAAGATTCTCCTTGGAGGATTGGTGGTGTCCTTACTCATTGTGTAACTGTTTGTTGTGTTGTCACAAAACTACCTCCTGGTCCTTGATCTTGGGGTGGAGGCGCAAGGGGTAATAAGACCCTGGACTCTGGACCCTCTGCACCCAGACTTCTGGGTTCTAACCCCAGCTTTGCTGCTTACCTGCTGTGTGACTTTGGGCGAGTGACTTAACCTCTCTGGCCTCAGCCTCCTCATCTGGACAGCGTGGTAATATTAGTGAGACCTCCCCGTGAAGAGTAAGTGAAATATTAACCTGTGAAGTGGCAAATGGGAACTTGGCGTGTGGCTGTGGTTCTCACATGTTTCTGTCTCAGGACGCTTTGGCACAGCTGAAAAAATTATGAGAACCTCAGAGAGCTTTAGCTTATGTGACTTATATCCATAATAGTTGCCATATCAGAAACTAAAATGGAGGCATTTAAAAATATTGATTCAATCATTAAAAATGGACAATAGTAAACCTATTCAGTGGTAAGGTAAATGACATTTTTCATGAAAAGTAACTACACTTTAAAAAAGAAGAGCAATATAGTGAGAAAATTGGCATTGACTTATTAAATCTTTTAAGGTCTCTTTAATGTCCTCTCCTATCTGTGACAGTGTCTCAGACTTTTCTTCTTTTTTTGGATCCTTGACACTTTTAGGGTAGTTTCATTTATTTAGTTATTTACTCATTTATTTATTTATTTGGCTGTGCTGGATCTCCACTGCTGCTCAGGCTTTTCTCCAGTCACGGCGAGGAGGCTACTCTCTTGTTTCAGAACATGGGCTCTAGGGCAGGTGTGGGCTCACAAGTTGTGGTTGCCCCATGGCATGTGGAATCTTCCTGGACCAGGGATCGAACCCGCATCCCTTGCATTGTCTGGCTGATTCTTAACTACTGGATCACCAGGAAGTCCTAAGGTAGTTTCTTAAAGGTTAGCCGCATTGAGAATCTGAAACCACATGAATGAAATGGCTTTGGCATTTGCTGGATAAGTAACCTTGGACAAGGCACTTGGCCTGGAGGCCTCTGTAAAATGGAACAAAAATAAAACCCATCTCACAGGGCTGCTGTGAAAACCCAGTGAGATCATAGCCGTCCTTTGTTTGGCCTACACAATAATGATAATAATAACAAATATACTCTTAGAAGTGATTCAGATGGAAAACTCATTTAACCTCTTACTGACCTTAAGCTGTAGGTACTATTGTTAGTTCCATTTTACAAAACAGTAAACTGAAGCTCAAAGCAATGAAGAGCCTCACTTCAGGTCACACAGTCTGGGATTTGAACCCAGGCAGGCTGGCTTAAGAGCCTACCATATTTGGTCTTCAAACTAAATTTATACTAATTTTAGATACCATGAGATCTTACTAATACCAACAGTATTTCAGTACACCAACAAGGGGTGTACTTTAGCCTTCTTTCCTCATTTGCAACTTCTTTTTCCAACATTGAGAAACCAAGCTCCCTCTATCTACTATAGACTTACTCATTTTGTTCAGTGCCAGAGTAAGCATAAAGGGGTTGCTCTGTGGCATGTGGGGTCTTAGTTCCCTGACCAGAGATGAAACTTGAGTTCCCTGTGTTGCAAGGCACATTCTCAACCAGTGGACCGCCAGGGAGGTCCCTGTTTTTTTATATACTTACAGCCCTTTGTTGGTGTTTCTATTCCGTATTGACTTCCCCCTACAACCTACGTGTGTGCTAAGTCACTTCAGTTGTGCCTGACTCATTGCAACCCTAGGGACTGTAGCCAGCCAGGCTCCTCTGTCCATGGGATTTCCCAGACAAGAATACTGGGGTGGGTTGCCATGCCCTCCTCCAGGGGGATCTTCCTGACCCAGGGGTCGAACCCTTACCTCTTATGTTTCCTGCATTGGCAGGGAACACTAGCAGCACCTGGGAAGCCCACCTACAACCTAGGAAGGCTTTAATTGTTCATTTCTTGGGGTGTGTGAAAGAAATATGAAATAGGACCATAGCTCTAGGACTCAGGGTTTTAAGAAAAAGACAGACTCGAGAAGCATCCTACACCTGCATCCCGACTAACTACTCCATTCCCATCCCCTCTTTTTTCTACCCCTCCCCCATTCCAGCCCATGTGAGTAATACAGTTTTTCAGTGTCTGCTGTACTCTTCTTGTACAAATAAATGAGCAGATACTTGTGCATTTTCTTACAGACTCTTACATGAAGAGTAGCTGACTATAGGCACTCTTGTGTACATTGTTTCTTTTAGCGTTGTGTCCTGGACTTCCTTCTATACTGGTTCCTAGAGTTCATGCTCTTCCTTTCTGATAGCTGTGAAGTGCTCCCTGGTAGGGACGTTACATAGTTCCTTAAGTCACACTCCTATATATGGGCATGTCTGTGGTTTCCATATTTTGCAGCTACAAACAGTGCTGCCATGAATAGCCTGTGCACGTGCCTTTTGCACACATGTTGCAGGAAAAAGAACCACTTGCTGGGCTTCCCAGGTGGCACTGATGGTAAAGAACCTGCCTGCCAACGCAGGAGACATGAGAGACTCCATTTCAATCCCTGGGTCGGGAAAATCCCCTAGAGAAGGGCATGGCAACCCACTCCGGTATTCTTGCCTGGAGAACCCCATGGGAGCCTGGTGGGCTACAGTCCCTAGGGTCATAATGAGTCAGACACGACTGAAGCAACTTAGCACGTGTGCACACACACCACATGGTATTTTTAAAACCTTGATTTTGTGGCTGATGGGTTTTGTTTGTTTGCAAATTGACTTTTTTGATTGTGCCTCGTGGCATGAGAAATCTTAGTTCCCTCACCAGGGATCGAACACTCGAACCCATGCCCCTGCATTGGAAGCAGGAGTTTTAACCACTGGACTGCAAGGGAAGTCCCTGGTTGCTGACATTCAAGAATTAGAAGCTATTACTTAAAAGTTTGTATGTGCTCTTGGGATATGAAAACCACCGTATAAAGATTTGCTCTAGAAGTTGACAGACTGGCTGGTACCGAGCCTGCTTCGTGCACGGCGGCCACCTCCAGAGCTGAACAATGGCTTCCGCTCAAGACAGGGCAGGCTCTACGCTCTCCCACAGACTCCATCTCTCCCTGCTGCCTTCCTCCTCACAGCTGGCCCCTGTTCCCACATATATTACCTAACTGGCCTCCAGACATCTGAGTTTACAACCCCTAAACAGTGTCATGTGTAAAGTATGTGGCACAAGCCTGCACACAGTAAGTAACACCATTTATAATAACATCCATCCACTCATGTAACCCTGACAGTACCAGACACTGTTTCAAGTGCTCTCCTCTTATTTATTCATCTAAGCCTCAAAGAACCCTATAGGGAAGATACTATTATTATTCCATTTTTACCAACAAGGAAACTGAGGCTCAGAGAGCTGCAGGAACTTGCCGAAGGAAAGCACAGCTTGGAAATGGTGAAGTAGGGATTGAACTTGGGAAGCTCCAGAACCTGTGTCCTTAACTCCTAAATGTTCAAGAGCCTCTCACTCTCTGCACATCCCTCCCCACCTCCGCCCAGGCCTCACTGCCTACCTCCTTTGCCTCTCTCTCCAGGTGAGCCAGGCTCCATGACTGTAACCTGGACCACGTGGGTCCCAGTGCCCTCTGAAGTGCAGTATGGGCTGCAGCCTTCCGGGCCCCTGCCCTTCCAGGCTCGGGGCACCTTCAGCCCCTTTGTGGATGGGGGAATTCTCCGGCGGAAGCTCTACATACACCGAGTCACCCTGCGGGGCCTGCTGCCAGGGGTCCAGTATGGTGAGAGGGGCCCTGGGGCCCAGGCGGTGAAGGGCGAATGGGAGGAGCAGTGGGATGTGGGCTAACAGCTACTCAGGCGGGCTGGTACCCTCTCTGCTTACCTGCAAGCCTATTGTATGAGACCTGGGATGCAAATGGAAGGCTGGAGACCTGGGGTGAGGTGGTCAGAAGGGGCGTGGGTTAGACCATTCAGTCCCCCCACCAGTTGAAGATGGATGGGG